GCAGGGGGCGGGCAGGGGGCGGGCAGGGGGCGGGCAGGGGGCGGGCAGAGCTGCGGGACGCCTGGCTTCCCAGGCCCCGCCAGCCCTGACTGGCGATCCAGCCGGGAGAAGCCCGTAACTCTCCCGCCCACCTGGTGTCAGCGTCGGTGGGCAGACGGCGCGTGCCCGGTAGGCAGAGGGACCTCGAGAACCCCCGCCCCACCTGCGGGTGCGGCCCGGCTGTTAGAGGGAGAGCCCGCCCGGGCCACGCCGCGCCCCCGGATCCCGGAGATCCGCCTCGGCGCCTCGGAGCGCGGCAGAGCCGCCCCGGTCCTGCGTCCTCTCCCGAGCGCCCCGGGGCTCCTCCGGCGGGCTGCGGGGCGCACCGCTGGAAGCTAAGAATACTGTGCCCGCCCGGATCCGGCGACACGCGGTTCCGCTGCGCCGCGCGGTAGCCCCGCGCCCTTGCGTCCCAGTGCCGGTCCCACGGGGCTCCAGGAAGCGCGGGCCAAATAAACGTGGTGCTCGGGCGAATGGGGAGCTCACGTGGACGCGGGTGTTCGAGCGCCGTGCCCCTCCTCCCCGGCCGCTGCCGCCGAAGGGGTTTTATCGTTGTGGATTGAACCAGTCTGGGCCGCTCTGACGGTCAAGGGTCCAGCCGCTATCTGCCTCTCTAGGCTGGAGGCTGTTTCTCTCCACTCCGGGAGGAAGTCTTGAGGCCACTAGAGGGCGCCCCATGGTCCAGAGTTGGGGAGACAGAGGCCTAGAACACCCCCAGGGGATGTGAGAAAGCGCCTGGATTCCCCTTGTGACCTGGGACGCTCCCATCTGCCTGGTCCTGACCAACCGTGGTGCTGGCCCAGCTCAAGAAGAGACCTTGCCACAGCCTGAAGGACCCGGGAGGTGGACAGAAGACCCTGAATGCAGGCGAGAGGCCACGCATGTCAGCTGAGGACAAGCAGCCTGCCCTGACCCTCAGCTTCATGGGCACAGCACAGCTTAGCTGCGACCCTGGGGAGCCACTCTCCCTGAGCCTGAAACTGCCCTCCACGCTGTCTCCCCAAAGGCCGGGCAGGAAGGATAGCCTTGGAGGGTCTGACCTGGGGACTGTTGCTTGTGCCCTCCCTTGGGAGCCCCTCCCTTGGGAGCCCCTCCCTTGGGAGTCCCTCAGCCTGTGCCAATGGCTATTGGTCAGAAATGGTGACACTCTTAGTGCAGGGTCTGGACCCTGCTGCCCTCAGGCTCCCCCCCTGACACTCAGCCCAAGCTGGAGGTGAGGGACAGCGGCCAGAGGCCCAAGGCCAGTCACAGTGTTGATGCTGACATGATCAGCTGGGGCCCTGCCGGAGGGACCCTGTCCAGGGGCTGTGGCCACTGCTCGAGTGAGAGGCCGCTGGACTGGGACAGACGTGCACCCTCAGGTACCCCATACCTCCCAAGCCATTCTCCACCCACCGTGGCTCCTGCTCCTTGGTGTCCTCAATAATGACTGCCACCTTTTCCTGTCCTGCTGCCCTGGGAGGGGCCAGGGTGGGGAAAACAGGTCTATGCCCACTCTCAGCTGGTCCCCTCTCCTGCGCCTAATTGGTGTGGAGAGCCTGCAGCCCCCGCCCCCCCGACCTAGCCTATCATGGAGCCAGCAGGGGCAGCACCCACCCCACCGGCCAGGCCCTGCCCCTGTCTCCATCCAGACCCATGCCTGGTGAGCCTTCCTGCCTGCTCCTGCTTTTCCTTTTATCCTGTCTCAGTGTCTGATCCTCAGATGACTGGGCTGTGTCCCCTCTCTGTCATCTGCTCACGCTGTTCACAAGAGGAACTAGAACTCCTCTCCCAGAAGGGTACATGGGGAGTCAGAGAATCCACTCCAGTGTCCCCCTTGCAGGACACCTGCTCCTGGGAGCACCCAGACCTTCCCAAAGGGTGGAGCAGGGACACTGGAGCTTCACAGGAAGATGAAAGCACTTGAGGATGCCCAAGGCCCAGGCTCTGCCCAGGGGGAGAGAGGGGGAGTGGTGGAGGCACATCAGGGCCGAGTCTAAAAATCAGACATGGGCTTTATTGTGATGCAGCAGTTCCCCCAGCAGGAACACATGGGGTGTCAGCGTGGCAGCACAGGCCACCCAGATCCGTTGTCATCCCCCACCCCGTTCTCACCCACAACAGAAGCCAAACGCGGCCCCTGCCCCAGACTCCAGCCCAGGGAGGGGTGTGGATGTCAGAGGTCACATAGAGTGCGATGACCACAGGTGGCTTGTGGAAATAGCTGGAGAAGGGTCAGAAGCACAGGAAAGGCCACAGCAGCCTCCCGTGGTCCAAAGCAGTAGAGCAGGAGTCCTCAGTTTCCATACAGGACAGAGGGCAGCTGGGCAGGACTCTTGAGTAACATGTGGGTGCCCCGTGCAGCCTGGAAAGACCACTGGGGGCTCCCCTGAGAGGAATGAGGTGCCAGCCCTGAGGCTACTCCAGCTTCCCACGGCTGCTCAGTCCTGACTGAGACCCCTCTGGGGTGTCCTCCCCGGCAGACAGGGGCCAGGAGGGCCCAAGGGCTTGATGGGCACCATTGGGACTTGGGGTGTGTTGTGAGGGGGTGGCCAAGGGTGGCTGAAGAGTGGTGGCCATGCTGCAGCAGAGTCCTCAGAAACCCACAGTAACTTCTTCAGAAGGAAGATGGTGCCCCAGTTACTTTGTGCCAGCCAACCTCAGGCCAACTTCAGGAAAGCGGGACCAGCCGCTGGGAGGAAGTCAGTTAGCCATCTGAGGTCCTGGGGACATCCACAGTCCTCCGGGGCAGCTGCCGGCCCAGTCAAGGAGCCCAGCATCCCTTTATTTGCAGTACTCCTTCCTGAACTCTGAAAGTCAAAGGACCAACTGGGGTCTACTCTGCCCTTCCATGCAGTGGGAAACAGCAGACAGCAGAGCTTTCTAAGGGACTCTAGAACAGAGGCAGTCATGGTCTCCTATCCATGGGGCTGGCTGAGGCCTTGCATTCCGGGCCCTCAGAGGGGGCAGTTTGGCGTATGGCCTGACTCTGGGCCAGCTAAGGGTGTGCAGCACTCACCTTTGTCCAGGTCGACACTCTTGGCAGGCAGGGGGCTATGGGCCAGCTCAACCCTCTCCTTGAGGATGTTGTTTTTGTAATCTAGTGCAGGGAGAGCAAGATGAGGTCCACCCTCAGCGACCCTGCCCAGGCCTGCCCCAGTCTGTGCCTCAACGTCCTGACCACCCTACCTAGCTGGATATCCTCGCTCCTATAGGGAGTCTGGTCCCCTGTAGCCACTGCAAACTCTGCCATGTTCACGTCCTTCCTGGAGGAAGCAGCAGGTTAGAGAGGCGGGAGGGGCTGGGCCGGGACAGGACCGGATGGGACACGGGCAGGACACTCACCCTTTGGCCTTCGCAGACTTCTGGTCTGTGTAGTCATAGCCTGCAGAAGGAGAGCGTGTCAGGGCGCCCCGTGCCCGCGTCCCCGCCCCTGCCGCGCCCGGGTGCCCCTCCTCACCTCCGCGGCGGCGCTGGCGGGTGGCCAGGACCACGGTGATGAGCAACAGGATGAAGAGCAGCAGCGTGGCCAGCACGTAGCCCAGCTGCTGGAAGAAGTGCGCCCGGCCCTCGGGGACGATGACATTGATGACGCTGCGCCCTCGCACCAGCGTGGGGTCTGCGGGCGGGGACAGCGTCAAGGCCGCGCGCGTCCCTTGCCCCGGCCCCTCAGGGAGGACACACACCTGGGGCAGAGCCTGGCGAGGGGCGCGGGGGCGGCGGCGTCGCGGCGGGCTTGGCCACGCGCAGGTGGAAGACCCGGCGCTCGTGCAGGCCGCAGTAGTGGTGGTGCAGGTGGCAGGAGTAAGTGCCCTCATCAGCCGGCTCCAGCGGGTCGATGCGCAGTGAGAAGTCCCCGCGCGCGAAGGCGTCGGCGCGGACTGCCACGCGGTCGCGCAGGAATGGAGGCGCGTAGGCGCGGCGCTCCCCGGATGCATACAGGTCAAGCAGGCGATCGGCACGGTCATGCGGGACCCCAGGGGGCTGGCGATCCCAGTGCACAACCTGCTGTGCTTCCTCCAGGTGCCGCTCGGTCCACAAGAGCGCGCGGTTCACGCAGGTCAGCAGCGCGGGCGAGCCGCGCACCGCAGTCAGCACCTCCTTCTCACCGTCCCAGTGCGCGCTCGCGGCCCGGGCTGCGGGAGCGGGCGGTGGAGTCAGTTGGTGGGGTCAGCGGGGGCGGTCAGTGGTGGCGGGGTCAGCAGGGCGGGGTCAGTGCCTAGTGCTGCACTCACGGTCGTCGGTGACCTCCAGGCGCACAGCCAGGCTCTCATACAGGTGGCAGTAGTGATGGTGCAAGTTGCAGGTGTACAGCCCCGCATCGCTTTCCTCTACCGCTGCCCGCGCAGACAAAACAGCGTGAGCCCCGCGCCCCCTGGCCTTGGCCACCCCAAGGTCCCCTGGGCAGAGCCCCTACCTCGGATGAGCAGGGAGAAGTTGCCGTCGTGGAAGGCAGAGGGTGACAGCAGCAAGCGGCCACGGTCCCGGGGCTCGTACACGCGTGGTTCGCCAGCAGAGTACATGTCCACCAGCCGGCGTGCAGGGCCAGGGCCACCGCCCAGGTCCCAGTGCACCACACGCTGGCGGTCGTGCAGCCGGTCCTGCGTCCACACCATGCGTGGGCTCTGGCAGCGCAGTACTGCCTGGCTGCCTGCCTCCCAGGTCACTGCAGACTCAGACACCACTGAGCTGTCGCTGGTCGCGGGCCCCAAGGGCCCTGGTGGGGAAGAGAAAATTAAGGAGGGACACCAGGGGACCTAAGGGGTGGAGCTGGCATGATGAGCAGGGGACTGGCCCCAGCTGGGGGCGGTGGTCACTCACCTGAGGATGGAAGGACAGTAGAGCCTGCAAGGAGAGGAGAGAGAGCCTGGGGAGGGGCCTTTGCATACAATGACCCCAGTGGCAAGGGCAGCCACTCAGCTCCCTGAGCCCCTCCATGGTCCTAGGGGGGGACACTGGTCTTGCAGCCCAGCCCCCATGTGGCCTCCCTTGGCGTGAGCCAGTGCCTGCACTCTAGGAGTGCAGAAGCCAGGGTCTGGACAGTGAGTGGTGGGCTAGGATTGGACCTTTCCTTGCAGGTAATGTGTGCGCAGCTTGCCACCAGGGGCCACATCTCAAGTGGACACCAAATCCACTCGGGGCACCTCAGCCTGACCCTGGGGCAGGCCCAGGGGTTGTGCACATCCTGCTTTGGAGGGGGCTCTGGCACCTGCAGAGGGTGACAGCTCAAGAGTCCCCATGGTCCTTAGACCCTCTGACAGTGGAAAGCCCTGGCTGTGGAGACACTATCAGCACCCTCACCAAAGGCAGGGCATGGAGCCCAGGGAGTGGACGTGGGAGTGAGCCCCCATCAGCCCTGCACAGGCCCAAGTTCCTGTGCAGAGGTGGCTGAGCGCCCGGAGTCTGGAGAGGAATGTGCAGGGTCAGCAGGCCAGCTGGGGGTTGGGGGGAACTGGAGGGGCCCTGAAATTCCTAGGCCCACTCTACTCCCCACATCTGAGAGAACTTGCAGACCTGGGGGCCTCACCCGCCCGCCTGGCCTCCGGGAGGTAGGACACCTCACTGGGCTGCCACAGCCTCCCTGCCACTGGCCTTCCCTGCTGCAGCATCCCCAAGGGCAGCTGTATGGGGTCCATCTGAAGGCCTCACACCCTCCTGGTGAAGGCTCCCTTTAGGCCCCCAGGCTGCCCTTGCCCTGATGAGGGCGCCTCCCCCCGCCCCCAGCAACTCTGCCCAGAGCACCAGAGTGCCCACACCCCCTTGCTGCCCCGCACAGTTGCTGTGCCACCCCACTCACTCTGTAGAAGCACAAGTTCCCATAGCAGGACCTGGGACCACAGCTCCATGGCGCCTGCTGCCTGCCCCTTGCTTTGTCTCTTTCTGGCTGTAACTCTCCAGAAAAACAGCCGAACCCCCTCCCCCTCCGGCACCAGTGTGACATCACGGAGTCCTGGGCCGGGTCTGTGCCCGCCCACTCCTTGGCCTCCCTGTCCCGGGCTGGCTGGTGGGGAGGAGCAGCGGAGGCCCAGGCCAGCTGCTTGTTTGGGTCAGTCCCTGCAGTGAGGGTCCCAGCCCCAGGAGGGGCAGGATGGCCTGAGGGCGAGGACCCTGAGGCCACGTGGGTGTCAGTGCCTTCCTGGACCCTTCCTGTCCTGCTGGGGTTCCAGGGTGAAGGGCCAAGCCCCCACTCTGTGAGCAGCTGCCAGAGCTGGGGTTGGGGGGTTCTCCCCTCTTAAAGGCACCCTGGGGGGCTGGGGATTTAGCTCAGCGGCACAGCGCCTGCCTGGCAAGCGCAAGGTTGTGAGTTCGATTCCTGGTACCGGAAAAAAAAACAAAAAAAAATAAAAATAAAAAAAATAAAGGCACCCTGGTCCCCAAGGCCCCCAGGAGCCTGGTTGCCACCTACTGCTCATCACCCTGTTTCTGCCATCAGACTGGGAGGCTCCTCCAGTTTGTCCTCCCTGGGGGTGACCTTGCGCACCCTCCTCTGGGGGCTTGGTGGGCTCCCTTAGAACAGGTGATAAACACTGCTGCCCAGTGGTCTCTGGGATCCAGAGCAGCAGCCAGGAACCCTAGGGTAAGGCCGGAAGGGTGGGTGGCCAGGCCACCTACCTGCCAGGACCCAGCCTGGTATCCTGGAAACCAGGCCTGGGGTACCCTACTCCTGGGAGATCCTGAGGAGGCAGGGAGAGGAACTCTCCTTCCCACAGAAGGCACAAATTTAAAAGCTCTGGGAAAACTTACAAGTCACATAAACAAATGCGAAATAACAGACCAAGCACTGTGCTCCAGACCCACTCCTGCTTGTTAGGCAAACCTCAAGACAAAGAGAAGAAGGAAAAATCCAAATGGCCACAGAAACCACCGCCCAATCCCTGGGGGCCAGGGGTTGCACCCTTGAACCTGACCCCAGCCCTAGGTTCTAGTAAGTCTCCCACCTCCACGCCCCACTGTGTAGGTGGGAACAGGACACGAGGGACCAGCTACAAGGACAAAGAAGCCCCCAGGGCCTGATGGACCCAGGCCTGGATGAGCCCCTTCCCAAACTGGAATCAGCCTGGGCTTGGCTCAGGCAGCTCTTCCCTGGGTCTTCATTCTGGAAAAACAGGCCCCGCCCGGCCATACTCAAGACCGCTTGGCCCCGCCTGGCCACTCCTCCTGTTTTTCTAACTGGTTTCCATTAGTGGGGGCCCCTCCTCCGAGGACCTCTGCTGTCTCTTTCATCCTCCCCTGCCCTGCTACTGTCCCTGCGGTCACTCTGTGTTCTCTGAGTGTCTTCCAGAGAGAATGGAGGCAGAAAGAGCCAGGGCTGGCTCGGGCCCTGGGAGGGGACCTGGCTCCAGGTAGGGCAGGGAGGGCCTGAGGTAGAAGGAGCTGGGGTGCCTGGCCCCAACCTTGCTCATTCTCGGAGCCCCTCGATGTCCCTGGCCTCTGCTGCATGGGCCTCAAGCTTTGGACCCCACAGCCCGCGGCCAAGTCACAAGCCAGAGCTGGGTGTGTGGGTGCACGCCTGTAATCCCATCACTTCAGAGGCTGAGGTAAGAGGAGCACCACGTGTTTGAGGCCAGCCTGGGCTACATAGTGAGACCCTGTCTAAAAAAAAACAAAAAACAAAACAAAAAAAAACCCACAAAGTAAACAAAAAAAAAAAAATCCCCTTACAAGCCAGATGCAGACATCTGAGACAATCCTGACCCCTTGGACACTCCCTTGTCCCCACCATCCTGTCCTCTGGGTTTATGGCCAGGGGAAGCCAGGCAGGCAGCAGGAAACAGACAGGAGAGGAGAGGCGGTTGGTTGGCTGGGAAGCCAACCAGGTCACCTGCCCCTCCCACAGCCAAGGGCCTGGCCCTGCCTGCTCTCTTTCGGACTGTGACCATGCCGCCTGGCTTCTAGCATCTTCATCACTCCAGGAAGAGGACAGCCCAGGACAAAACCAAACCACTGGCCAAGCCCCCAGCCAGACCAGAGCCTGGACCCTCCTCCTCCCCTCCTGGGGGTGTGGCCGACGGAGCTCAAAGACTGTGAAACCAATGTTGGCGCCCATTCCTGGTGACTCGGACATTCCAGGAAGCCCGGCTCATCAGGAAGAAAAACCACAGGAACAGAGACACAACCAGACATAGCTACACACACACACACACACACACACGTACAGTTTCTCTGTCTCCAATGGCCCTACACATTCAGACCTAGACACACACAGATGGGCAGAGGCTCACACCCTACTCACCCGTAACAACTCCACTGGGAGCTGGGTGGTGGAGTGCTTGCCCAGCATGCACAAGGCCCTGGGTTCAATCCACAGCAGTACACAAAATAAATATGCGAAAAAAGCACAACAGACAATAGCTTTGAAAAGTAAAAGCTGAACTGGACATGGTGGTGCACATCTGTAATCCTAGTATTTGGGAGGCTGAGGCAAGAGAATCGTTTCGAGTTCAGACCAGCCTCGGCTACAAAATGAGCTTAAGGCCAGCCTAAACTTGCATAGCGAGACCCTGTCTCAAGACCAAAAAAAAGCTAAGCACGGTGGAACACACCTGTAATCCCAGACTACTGTAAATTTGACTTCAGCCTGGGTAACTCAGTGAGATCCTGCCTCAAAATATAAAAAGAAGCGGAGGGCTGGGGATTTAGCTCAGCGGCAAAGCGCCTGCCTGGCAAGCGTAAGGTTGTGAGTTCGGTTCCCAGTACCGGAGAAAAACCAAAAACCAAAAAAAAAAAAAAAAAAAGAAGAAGCCGATTGTAGTGGTGCACACCTGTAATCCCAGCACTCAAGAGGCTGAGGCAGGAGGATCGCCATGAGTTCAAGGCTGGCCTAGGCTGGATAATGAGACCCTGTCTGTGTAGTTCAGGCTGGCCTCAAACTCCTGGCAACCCTCCTGCCTCAGCCTCCTGAATGCTGGGATTACAGGCATGTGCCACCATACCCGGCTATCTATTTCTGAGGCACAGTCTTGCTAAGTTCAGGCTGGCCTCAAACTTACCATCCTCCTGCCTCAGACTCCTTAAGTGCTGAGATTACAGCTGTGTGCCACTGTGCACAGCTGCATGCTGATCTCTTAAGATCATTTTGTTGTGTTTTTTGTTTTTCATTTTTCTTCCGGTACCAGGAATAGAACTCATGACCTTGTACTTGCCAGGCAGGCGCTTTGCCACTGAGCTAAATCCCCAGCCCCTCTTAAGATCCTTTTGTATACTTAGGGAAGTATTGTCAAGAGAACAAAATGAACCAGGTGCAATGGTGCAGGCCTGTCGTCCTAGCACTTAGGGAGGCTGAGGCAGGAGAATCAAAACTTCAAGCCCAGCCTGGGCAACTTAGCAACTTAGTGCTACCCTGTCTCAAAATAAAAAATTAAATGGGGCACCTGCCACGGTCTCCAGCACCAGCTACGCTGTTACTCAATCACCATGGCCCATTACAAAGCCACTAACCTTGAAGCACAAGCACTTCCAGAAGCACTTGGAGAAGTCAGGACATGTTGATCATGGTGCTGGTAACCTTATGTGAAGAACCAGAGAAACCTAATTGTGCTGTGGATTTTTAAAGCATCGCTTAGGAGCTACTACCCCAGAAAATACAGAAATTGAGCTGCTGCGCCTAGGATTGGCAGGAATGAAAGAGAAATATGAAGCTACTATAGAAGAAAATAAAAAACTGAAAGCAAAGCTTGCTCAGTGTGAGCCACCTCGGGAGAGGCGTGCTGAAGAGGCCTCTTCTCTGCTGAAAACACTGAAAAATGGTTTTGTATGACTGGAATGGTTTATATAGTATATAATCTTTTCTGAACAGATGCTCTGAAACTCTTAATATGTTAAATTCACCTCTCACATTTTTTTTTTTTTTTTGTCTTTTTTGAGACAGGGTCTCACTATGCAGTTCAGGCTGGCCTTGAGCTCACTTTGTAGCCCAGGCTGATCTCAAACTCGCAGCAATCCTCCTGCCTCAGCCTCCTGAGTGCTGGGATTACAGGCATGCAGCACCACACCCGGCACTCTCACACTTTAAAAGTTATAAACACATATACTTAGAATCACTAGCTGGGTGTGGTGGCACACCCCTATAATCCCAGCACTGGGGAGGCTGAGACAGGAGGATTGCTGTGAGTTTGAGATCAGTTTGGGCTACAAAGTGAGCTCAAGGCCAGCCTGAACTGCATAGTGAGACCCTGTCTCAAAAAGACAAAAAAAAAGAATCACCAATAAAAATTCAATATAACTTTCTTTCGGTCTTAAATCAGGAGAATCCAAAGTAAATCCTGAAGAAAACCTGAACAGCCATCTAATTTATTACCTTAAAAGACATTCCATTTATTGGTCTGCTTAGGAGTAATACTACTGGTTGTATTTTACCCAAGGACGTTTAGCATGGAGTTGTTCCTTGGTTCAGTGCAGGATATGAGCACAGGTACAACCATGCTTTACAATGAAGATAACAGTGTTTATATTCCAGTAAGCAACTGGAGAAATCTGTGTGACATACGATGCTTTTGCATGGGTTCCCCTGAATTTTCTGCTCTTGTTTACACAGTGTGGAATAAGTAACTCTTCCTTGCCACCACTTTGCCTTCAATAGCTATGTGTGTGCCAGTTTGAACTCTGACACTGCTTTTTTCTTCTATGCAATCATGCCCTACCTGATAATGGTGCCTTGCTTTGCTGTGTACTTTAGTGGGTCCTAGTTGCTCATTAGCCTTTGTGTGTTGTTCATTTTGCTTAATAATGCAGTTATCCTGATTGTGGTTAAACAGGATCACAGTGTTACCCTTCCTTAGCTAGTTGCTTAGTTAGTACAGACAGAGGTAATATAACCTTCTGGGTTCATTGACAAGCTGGGATGGGTAGGGGAATGAGCCATTTATCATGGACAATTACAGTTTACGGGTATAATTATACATATAGTGCTTTTTTCCCTCAAAGTATTTTTC